CTTTGAGAAAATATAAAGGGTCACTTTTTCAATTCTTTCACTGGGTTTTTTTACATTTTTACTGAACTGTAACAAATTTGTCCTGTGGTGTGACATAGCAAAAATTAAGAAAAAAAAATATCTTAATAATATACAAATAGCATGAGAGAGATTTCTCTTCTTTGTTAGATACTTATTTTCATATTGTGTTATTTAATATAAAATTATATTATATTATATTACAAATAGAAATTTTATCATTTATAAGTTCATTTAAAAACTGAATTATGTGCAATTTACATGTTTGCATTGCTGAGTGTTGAACGTTATTATATTTAAAAATAAATAGTCATTAAATTTAAGTTTAGGCACTGTTTTTAATTGTAACCTAGTAATGTAAAAGAGCTCCCTGTAGTTTAAAGCATAAGCTGAGGTAGATTTTTATCACTAAGAAAATGTTAATTATAACTGAATTTATTTATAAAAGAGCCACTTGTTCAGTAAACCACTGTTTAATAAAAAAAAAAAAAAAGAAAAAATTATGTTTAGTTTTCCCCCTGCTGTATCGAAATACCGAACCGTGACATCAAAACCGAAGTACGTACCAAACAGTCATGTTAGTGTACCGTTACACCTCTAATACGATGCTGGTATCGGGCCCAATACTGCACTCATGTACTCGTACTCATTAAAATGCCCCAATACTAAAAGCCGATACCACAAAGTGTGTGAACAGTGCCGTGTCCAGAAAAAGAAACAATAGAACAACAGAGAGCAGAATAAAGTTATTAGAGATTAAGGATGTCTATAAAGTACATGTATGTAATTAATATAATGGTAAACATTCAATATTATTCACGCCTGTATAGCTGATGTGTTTGAGCTGATAAGCAAAGCACACAGCGTGGATTGAGTGCACTGTGGCACAGATACACGAGCTTGTCAAGCGAATATACCTTTCTTACAGACATCACTGTAAAGTTTGTAGTTCAGTCGGATGTGTCAAAAGCAAGTAAGTAAAACAATGCACAAGTTACTTAAGTTAATTGACGGTAAAGAGAGAGAGAGAGAGAGAGAGTGCACTTCTGTTTCATGATCTTGATTGCTGTTCGCTCACTTAGCACACTCATCATTTGGATTAAAACTAAATATAAGCCAAACAAAAATTATAGGGGCATTCACTACAAACAACATTTATTTTAAACGTCAAGCATACACAACTTTATATAAAGCAAAAGTGAAACTAGCAGCCTGTACGTGTTTCTCTCGTTCTGCACAAATACAAATGTGCACGCGCATTGCGCATATTATGCTTACTTGACGTTAATTTCATTATATGAGCGGCATTGGGATATAAGTCGCAGCATGTTTCAGAAGATAAAAAATTTTATTTATATTTTAGAAAATCTGTTCATCGCTGTTACAAGATTTATGTATAAATGTTCCCTTCATTGTTACAAGAAAGTGTCTTGTGATTACAGTACTGAGCCAGTACTGATTACACATGGCATGAAAATGCAGGTATCGCTACTCGGTATCGGCAAGTACTAAAAATAAAAGTACCATATCGGCCTCGTTCTGAAAAAATTGGTATTGGTGCATCCCTAATATGTTATATACAATTTATATAGTAAGTTTCTTAGCATAGTTTTCTTTTCAGAGATCACGCAGGTTTGTAAGGAGTTTAACTAGTTAAATGACTCTGAGGAATCTTTTTTATTATTAAAATATTCAAAGAGAAGAACCAGCAGCATCATGTTTAAAAAAAATTCACACCCAATGTCATGATACTCACACAGGGTCAAAGGTCAAAGCAGGTCCATCACTGAGATCAGGGGGCAGACACATTAAGTTGTTACTCTCCATAGACACACAGCTGAATCCTGGAGATGCGTCAACAGGAGCCTCCTGCTCTCTCTCCTCATATGCACTCATTTCACAGGCTGTTTTCTGCTTCTCTTCTTTCTAGAAGAGAGACTGGATTTCAGGCCTGTATGTGGAAACAAAGAACACACAATGAAATTTGATACAACAGAGTTTCAGTTCTTGCTGGTAATCAGAAGTGAGAAAGCACAGTGACCGAAGTGGCTGATAATGTTAAAACGTTTACCTTGATAAGACAGTAAGTCTGGCTGCATCCAAAATGGCATACTTTCCTACTATATACAGTAGGATATAAGTACCTACCCAAGACAGTATGCGATTTTGGAAGCAGCCCACAAACACATCCACAATTTCACTCCTGTCTAAAGAGTATGACGTGTTTAACAGCACTGAGCATTGCAGCTAATCACAGACATGCCTCCTAAACACCAAACGCAAGATGTGTTTACGTCAGTCAGTGGCACATCCACTCAATACTAGTGTTGTCACGATTAGGGGTGCTCCGATCAGGATTTGAGGCTGATCTCCGATCGCCGATCACAGAAAGCAGTAACTGCCGATACCAATCACCGATACCGATCTTTTTTAAAGCCTTCTTTTTATCATTTATAACTATTTATAGTGATACTCCAATCAGGATTTTTAGACATTTATTCAGAATGGTTAAACACTGGCAAGAATTAAAAAGTAATGCAATTTATAAACTTTAATTACGATGTGACACTGCCTCGATTGTGCAAGTGACAATTCCTGTGTCAACTGTGCAGTGTGCAGCTCGCTTATAGTGCAGACCCGATATGGTGATTTGAAGCCATTTGCGTATTTTGAGAAAGAGCGCGCGTGGTGATTCACTCACGTTGTTTGTGAAATTACGTCTCACACAAGGTTTTCAGATTACTTTATAAGTTATTTAATTAAGAAATATGAAGGGGAGTACCTCACCTTCAGCATTATAATTATTTCACCTGCGCCGGACAGAGACTGAGACGGTGCCGCTGCATGTCATGCCAAACCTCTCACGGCAGCGTCATCAGCTTGAGATCGGTGAAAACCGCCGATCAATCATCCCAAAGCGATTATCGGCCGATAGTGATCGGTAGCCGATCAATCGGAGCACCCCTAGTCACGATACCAAAACTTTGGCTTCGATATGATACCTGACTAAAATATCTCGATACTACTACTGAACCGATACTACAACAAAAACATAAAACAACAGGAAAAGTAACTGAATAGCCTAATCAATGTTCCACATGGAACTTATAGTTATTTTACCTGTTAATAAAAAAAGAAAACTTTCACTTGACCATTGTGTGCCTGCCCTGCTTTTTGAGCATTTCATCCCCCTTTAAAAAAAAAGAAATTGCATGCCGTTGGCACTGATAGCCTCGTGGTTAGTGCTCCTAAATGTAGCGCAACTGCGCTTGCAGCGACCCGTGTTCGTTACCCGATTTGTGGTCCAATGCTTTCCTGTCTCCTCTTTACTGCCCGATCACATTAAAAAGCCCATATATTGAACTTAAAAAAAAAATAAATCACATGCCAGTGCCACTACACAGGACTATGGTGAGCAACTACTGAGCCTACAGGCATGAACAGATCTTTGCAACATTGGTAAGCTAGCTAAAAGCATAAAGCCAAACTAGACTGTTATTACTGACCTCAACTGCCCCATCAAACTCAGATGGTGAAAAACTGTCACAAAATAAATCACACTCTTTTGACTTATATTTGAGGGCATGAGCTAGGGGTGGGAAATATTACCATAATCTATTTATATCATGATACAGTCAATTTTCTTATTTTATCTTTTCTTTTTCTATTTGTTATTAATAATAAGAACATAGATGCAAGTTACAAACAAAAGGACAAATAGAATAAAACGGACACACATGAAATAAACTGTTTTTAGGTAAAGTAGGTCTATTTAAATGTAGCATTCAAGCAAGAGATGATACAAAAATTGAATAAAGTAATATGTCAGCCGCACCACAAGGATACGCGGTTTTCGTTCAAATCAAAGCATAGAAAGCGTATCCGTGTGGTGCAGCTGACACAGAACAGTATACGCTATTTGCATCCAGCGGATATTCTCCAAAATGGCACTACGCTAACACAGAGGAGACAAATTGTTGAATTAAGTCATTATTTTTATTTTCTTTGCGTACAAAAAGTATTCTTGTCGCTTCATAACAGTCAGATGGAACCACTGATGGCAGATGGACTATTCTGACGATGCTTTTCATACTTTTCTGGGCCTTGACAGTGTTATTTACTTGGCAGTCAATGGGACAGTCACAAGCCTCCCGGTTTTCATCCAAAATATCTTAAATTGTGTTCTGAAGACGAACAAGCTTTTACGAGTTTGGAACGACATGGGGGTAAGTGATTAATGACAAAATTTTCATTTTGGGGTGGAGTAACCCTTTAATATCCTAATGATTTTTGGCATAAAAGAAAAATGGATAATTTTGACCCATACAATGTATTTTTGGCTTTTGCTACAAATATACCTGTGCTACTTAAGACTGGTTTTGTGGTCCAGGGTCACATATTGTCTGTGATTATGCACGCGGCTTTGCGTAGCTTGTTAGTGAACTATGGCTCTGTGTACTAAATGCTGCTCCATCTGAAATCACGCACGTGATGGAGAATTACTATTGATTACAAAACCGGCTTTACTGACAACATGCGCATGACAATCGCATGCGATTTATCGTGCAGCCCTAACCAGGATGCACTATGGGAAGAAGGCAAGCCGGTGGAGGCAGTGTGGCAATATTCTGCTGGGAAACCTTGGGTCCTGCCATCCGTGTGGATGTTACTTTGACACGCACCACCTACCTAAGCATTGCTGCAGACCATGTACACCCTTTCATGGAAATGGTATTCCCTGGTTGCTGTGGCATCTTTCAGCAGGATAAATCGCCCTGCCACAAAGCAAAAATGGTTCAGGAATAGTTTGAGGAGCACAACAATGAGTTTGAGGTGTTGACTTGGCATCCAAATTCCCCAGATCTCAATCCAATCGAACATCTGTGGAATGTGCTTAACAAACAAGTCTGATCCATGGAGGCCCCACCTTGCAACTTACAGGACTTAAAGGGGTCATATGATGCGATTTCAATTTTTCCTTTCTCTTTGGAGTGTTACAAGCTCTTGGTGGATAAAGAAGATCTGTAAAGTTGCAAAGACTAAAGTCTCAAATCCAAAGAGATATTCTTTATAAAAGTTAAGAGTCAGCCATGCCTACCTAAAACGGCTCGTTCTAACACGCCCCCACATATCTACGTCGCTATGTGGGAAGATTTGCATAAAGCCACCCAAATGTTCACGCAAAGAAAGAAGGCGTAACTTTTATTCTCGCTGTAGTTTTGTTGTTGCCTCCGCCATGTCCTGAAGACGCTGTGTGCTTCGTTGTGAAAGCGAAACTACTTTGTTTGGTCTTCCAAAAGAGGACGATATCTGCTTCGTCATGCCTGGAGCTGAATAATGTTCTTTTTAGCAGCATCATATGCTGCATATCCCCTTTAAAGAATCTGCTGCTAACATCTTGGTGCCAGATACCACAGCACACCTTCAGGGGTCTAGTGGAGTCCATGGCTCGACAGGTCAGGGCTGTTTTGGCAGCAAAAATGGGACCAACACAATATTAGAAAGTTGGTCATAATGTTATGCCTGATCGGTGTAAATCTGCATTGTTAATCCTTTTGATCTTTTATTCAAAAAATTCACAAAAATCTAAGCTTTCATTGAACTAAAACAATTGAAAATGGGGGAAAATCTCATTACAAAATAAATGTTTTTCTCAAATACATGCTGGCCACAATTATTGACAGCCCTAGAAATTATTATAAGTAAAACATCTCTGAAGTATATTCCCATTCGTAGTTACCATTTTTAGCACACGTGTGATTATGAACATGAAATTATACAGCCATGGCTTCCTGTTCACAGGAATATAAACGTGAGGGAAAACAAAGGCCAAATTCCCTTAATCCATAACAATGAATAAAACCAAAGAATATATTTCTGGTGTGCAGCAAAAGATAGTTGAGCTTCACAAATTAGAAATTGGATTTGCGAAACGAGAAAATTCCCATTTCAACCTTCAGGGCAATAATTAAAGGGGTCATATGATGCTGCTAAAAAGAACATTATTTTGTGTATTTGGTGTAATGAAATGTGTTTATGCGGTTTAAAGTTAAAAAAACACATTATTTTCCACATACTGTACCTTATTGTTTGTCCTCTATGCCCCGCCTTTTTGAAACGCGTCAAAGAGGACGTGTGTCTATATCGTCCTAATGCACAGTGTGGGGGAGAGTTTACTTGTGTTTAGTTGTGTAGTTTAGTAACTACAGAAAAACAGTTGAGCCTCATTGTCAGAAAACCTTTGAAAAAATATCAAACAGCACCTACATCACCACATGTTGTTTGGGAGGGTTTCCAGAAAGAAAGAAAAAAAAATCAAGAAAAGAAAATGCTCTCATTCAAAAACAAACTCCAGCATACAGTATTCAGTTGTCGGACACTACCGCAACTTCAAAAATACCCCATGTGTACAATGAAATATACTGCTGTACCTTTAATGTTGTGGACCTATTTTTCTGCCGGAGGTCCCGGACGTCTTGTTTAGATGCATGGCATCATGGATTCTATCAAATAACAACAGATCAAAAATCAAAAACTGACTGTATCTGCTAGAAATCTTATAATGGGCCATGTTTGGATCTTCCAACAGGACAATAATCCAAAAACAAACATCAAAATCAACACAGAAATGTGTCACTGAGCATAAAATTAAGCTTCTGTCATGGCCGTCCCAGTCCTCTGACCTGAACCCTGTAGAAAATGAGTGTGGTGAACTGAAGAGAAAGAAGCACCAGCATGGAGCTGTGAATCTGAAGGATCTGGAGTGATTCTGTATGAAGGAATGGTCTCTGATCTCTTGTCAGGTGTTCTCCAACCTCATCCAGCATTATAGTAGAGACTCAGAGCTGTTATCTTGGCAAATGGAGGTTTCAAAAAGTATTGAATAAAAGGGTGTCAATAATTGTGGCCAAAGTGTATTTGAGAAAAACCTTTAATTTCATAAGGAGATTTCC